GATTCTCAAAATGAATTAGAATCTTAATCTTAAAACATGACATTTTATTTAAGTAAACTTAATTCAAAATTAAAAAAAAAAAAAAACTATCTTATTAAATATTTATATTTAAATTTAAAAACTGATTATATTAGAATAGGTTAAAATCTCTTTTTTCTCCCTTTACTTTAACAAAAAAGTTCCTTTTAGTCCATTTGCTTAAAAAAATATCTTTTAGTCCCTAAAGTTTAAAATCGGATCTCTTTTTAATCCCTCTATTATCTTTTTGCATAAATGTTTCATTAGATAATGGAGATTTCAAAACGGAGGTACTAAAAAATGATGACTTTTTTAAAGTAGAAAAACTAAAAAGGTTTTTTTTTTTAAAAAAAAAAAAGGGATCAAAAGGGGTTTTTTTTATCCATTTTTAATCCATCTACTTTATAATTTTGGTCATCTAACATGTTATGTGTGCCAAAAGTAACGAAGGGACTAAAAATGGACAACATTTTAAACTTGAGGGACTAAAAAGAGGCTTTTTTAAGTAGAATGACCAGAAATGAGTTTTTTTTAAGTAGATGATCAAAATGAGCTTTTTGTTAAAATAAGAGACCAAAATGGGGTTTTAAACTATTAGAATATATAATTGGTTTCTAAATCTAAGTATTAATACTTAATAGGGTGGGTTTTTAAATTTTAAATTGAGATTTCAACTTCTAAATGTAGGTTGAGACTTTAATTTTTTTTAGAAATCAAAATTGATATGCATTAACCTCATACAGTAAAATATACGCATTAACCTCATACAGTAAAATATAATTGAGTTTAGATTTTAAAATTTATTGGATAGTTATTTAAGATTTTAAAATATTCATTTAGTATCTATGTAATATTTATTAAAATTTTATTAAAGATTTATTAAGAATTTATTGAAAATTTTAAAAGATCCATTAGATATTTATTCAAGATATATTGAAAATTTTAATTATTTTTAATATGTTAAATTTTTATTTAAAATTCATATTAGAAAAGTCAAACAATCAAACTAAAACTAGTCAAAAATTTAAAAGATCCATTAGATATTTATTCAAGATAT